CCCCCCTATTCTACCATTTTTTCTTACTCTTCCTTATGACAAAAAATGACAGGCGTATTGAGTGAGGTCTTTACCTTATTTGAGAGAGGAAGAAGCAAATAATTCCATATATATATATATATATATTGGGAGGGGAGAAGCTGTAGAGACAAGCAGGCTGCACATACGTCTGATAAGAAAGACGAAGCGTGTTAGGTGCCTTTGCTGTAGTGTATTTTCGGAATCTAGCCTCTTAATGACCTATGTTGCGTTCTTCAAAATCAGTGAGAGGAAGTATATTTCTAAGAATTACAAGACTTCTGCGTAAAAGAAGTGGGAAGCCAAATGAGTTACCCGAATACAAACAAGTGTACTTACCTTACGATGCAACCCCAACACAGATTGAACTAGACCGCGAACGGAAAAAGTTTTCCCGTGCATACCATGGTCGTCAAGAGCACAAAAAGCTTGTAGAAATAAAAAATGTACCACAAAATATGTTCACATATGGGAAGGAAGGCATGTCAATCCCGATTTCTATCTTCAAGGATCAGCAAGACCCTGTCATTGGACCGGAGTGGACGTATCCAGGAATTTACGAAAATAAAATTGTGGCGCAGCACTGGTATCTATCAGAACTGTTTGATCGTGAAGAAAAGGGGTCCTTTGAGTCGCCTTGGCAAAAACAGATCCTCGATAATCAAGTCAAAAGACACCTTGGCAAGGTGGCATGGCGCATGAGGATGTTAAAAATAAAAACCATTGACATTTTCCACAAGGAAAGGGGCTCTTCGAAAAGACCGGGAGCTGCATCGGGAACGGATGGTAAGATGGCCTCCGTAGGCAATAAGCGAAAGAAGTAATCCTAGAACTCAAAATACGCGATGCTTAATGACCAGTACTGTGAAGGAAACAATAAAAAATGGAATGCATGGCGCTATTTTTTCCAGCATACTTTTTTTAATGGAATTCCAATGTGGTTCACAAGGCTAAACCCCTTTCTTCAAGCAGATATGTACACTTCCCCTAAAACCATGCATAATGCTGCAGTTTGCTTGACAATTCTTTGATTTCCTCTTTTTATTTTTATTTTCACCATAGTCAAAATTCTATACATATAAAGTCTTTTTTCTCCTTGTTAAAGTATTTGTTGCTATGTCGCGGATGAGTATTGTATTGCTTTTATTGTTAACGCATCTTTGGCTGGTCACAACAGGCCAGG